CGGCCATCAAACGACGTCGTCGACAGCCTGTCAACATCTGTTGTTCCAATTTAAAGCGATCTAACAGTGGCCGTACGCACTAGTTACGTGTTAAATTAGCAGCGGGGAACAATTCAGGCCATGGCGGGGAAAATCTCTTTTCCTCTTTTCCACACACTATGCCCTTCCAGGCTTTGTATTGGTTCGCAATGACAGAACAGGCAAGGGCGGGGGTGGGGTTGCCATGTATATACGTTCAGACTTGCCTCACCGCGTCATCAGCGCGTCCCCATCTCTCTATTCGGAGTCAGCCGAGTTCATGTTTGTCGAGATTTCAATTAATCTTAATAAAATATTGGTAGCTGTCATATATAGTCCAAACTTACGTATCAATTATTTCGATAGTCTCGACAGACAGCTCGACAACCTATGTCCTAATTATAACCATATAATAATTATGGGTGATTTTAATACATGCCTTCATAAACAAGATTCACGTGCTTATAAACTTCAATCTCTCCTATCATCCTTTAATCTTCACTTACTACCTCTTTTGGCCACTCACCATCCTCCTAACTCTTCTCCTTCCTTACTTGATATCATGATTGTGTCGTCCCTTGATCATGTTGATGATCATGGTCAACTCACTGCCCCCTTCTCCTACCATGATCTCATCTTTATGTCCTATCGCATACGTCCTCCAAAACCTAAACCTAGTTTTCTGAATCTGCGTAGTTACGGGCGGCTGGACCTGGAAGCATTACAGCATGATGTCAGCCGGATTGACTGGAGCTCTGTTACCAATGCTGATGACATTAATGCGAAGGTCAGTCTCTTTAACGAGATAATTATCGAGATTTTTGACAAGCATGCTCCGTTGCGCCGCGTTAGGATTAGGCGTAATCCGGCTCCTTGGATTACGCCTGTCATTTCGGATGCTATGGCTCGCAGAGATAGGGCCAAACAAAAGTTGAAGCGCAGGACTACCGAAGAAAATTTTGCATGCTATAAATATTTACGCAATCGGTGCAATCGTCTGTGTAGGGATGCCAGGAGACGATACTTTGACGATAACCTAACTAATCACAACGCTGGTGATGTTTGGAAGTTCCTACGTTCTGTGGGTATCGGCAAAGCCCCAATTAATGTTTGTAAGGATGTTGACCTTACCTCCCTAAACCATCACTTCTCCCTCTCCCCTGTTTCTCTTGACTGCCTTACTAAATCTATCACTCTTCTCGATCTTTGCTCCTCTTCACCTCCCTCCTTTTCTCCTTTTGAGCTCAGTAGTGTCTCTGAAGATGATGTTAGAAAATCTATGCTCGCCATTAACTCCTCGGCGGTGGGTGAGGATGGTTTATGCTCCCGCATGTTTACCCCTATTCTAAATCACCTTCTCCCTATCCTTACTCACATTTTCAATTTCTCCTTATTCTCTTGCTCCTTCCCTTCTGCCTGGAAAAATGCCCATATTATCCCTTTACCTAAAATCAACAATCCCTCGTCTCTTACTCATTACCGACCTATTTCCATCCTGCCTTTTCTGTCTAAAGTTATGGAACATATTGTTCACAGGCAGCTAACTTCATTCGTAACATCTAGCAACCTTATCTCTCCCTATCAATCTGGCTTTCGCCCCGGCCATAGCACTGTCACGGCACTGCTCAAAGTAACCGATGACATACGCTGGGCCATGGACAACAAGTCCCTTACTGTTCTTGTGCTGTTGGACTTCAGTTCTGCCTTCAACTCTGTGGATTTTGACATACTGTTGGGGGTCCTGAAGGCCAATAATTTTTCTGTGTCCTCTTTAGCCTGGTTTGAGTCTTATCTTCGGGGTCGCCGTCAGCGGGTCCGCCTCGAGGAAACCTTATCCGATTGGTGCGACCTTGCGACCGGGGTCCCTCAGGGTGGCGTCCTCTCTCCTCTGCTTTTCTCCATCTTTATCAATACCGTTGCCAGGGTCATTTCTTGTAATTACCATCTCTATGCGGACGATTTGCAGCTGTACCGTCACTTCGGCATGTCTGAAGCTCATTCTGCTATCGATGCCATGAATCGTGACTTGGATGGTGTTGCTGAGTGGGCCAGATCTTTTGGCCTACAAATCAATCCTCTCAAGTCTCAGGCCATGATCATCGGTAGCAGATATTATCGTAACACTTTCGACGTCTCTGGCCTCGGTCCATTGCGTTTGAATGGTACAGCGATTCCATTTACCGATAGTGCTAAAAACTTAGGTGTACTCATTGACTCGAATTTATCGTGGGATGCCCAGGTGAATGAAGTCAGTCGGAAGGTTCATTTTTCTATTCATTCGCTGAGGCGCCTCCAGACCCTGCTGCCTGTGAAAACAAAGATTTACCTTGTCCAAGCGCTGATCATGCCTCTGATGGACTATGCAGATGCTTGCTATCTTGATGCCACTGAGGAGCTATTAAATAAACTTGAGCGATTGCAAAACCTATGTATCCGCTTTGTATTCGGTCTTAAGAAGTATGATCATGTCTCCGAATTCCGCAATAGGCTCAAGTGGCTCCCTATCCGTCTTCGCAGGAACACTCGCATTTTATGTCTCCTCTACAATTCCCTCTACAATCCAACTTATCCCGCTTACCTCCGTGACCGTTTCTCCTTGGTGCGTCCTCCTGATGTCCTAACTCGTTCTCATCTCAAGTCCAACCTTAAAATCGTGCCTCATAATACTGACTTCTTCTCCTATTCTTTCACCGTTTATGCTGTGAGACTGTGGAATTCTCTCCCGCCTAACATTCGTGACGCTAAATCGCTCGCTCTCTTCAAAAAACTTGTTAAAGACCATTACCTTTCTTCATGAGTACTTACAGCTACGTTTATTTATATGTGTATCTTATTTATTGTTATTATTATATATTAAGTATTTATATTTATATGATATATATATACATACTTATATATTACCTATTTGTTATCGTTAGTTCTTTTTTTTTTCACTTTTGTTACACACTGTGTCTTATATTTTAATTACATTTCCTGTCTCAGGTCTACTGGAAGAAATTCCAACAGGAATAAGTAGCACCTTTGTACTCTTATTTTTTTATGTATTTTCCTCTGTGCTGTTTGTGTGTACATAAATTATTAAATAAATTATTATTAAATATTATTGTAACGAAAGCTATTAATGTGTAGTAAAGTAATAGTAACATAGAAGTATGAAGTTACCACCATAATTATGACGTTTTTACGTACGTACCTACCAATTATATATTTTTTTATCAAAGAAAAAGTATTGAAAGTATGTTACTATTGAGAAGTTAAATGGTTTTAGTGGCTCTTGGAAATCTATTAGTTTCTATTCTTTATTCGTGGAAATAATAAATCATTAATATTCACAAAGTTAAACCATCACTGTCCGTGCTACCAAAGGCGAATGACAGTATTTTATTGCTTGCGTACGTGAGGGAAGAAGGAAGAGAGTAACAGGAGGCGTGCTCCGAGCATCCCGGATGGCGACGGTAAAAGGAAACGGGCACGACGCGGCGCACCGCCGCCGATGACGTGTCGAGCCGTCGCAACTTCCTTCTAAACGAACACCGCCTACTTCAACTTACACGGAAAGAATTTTTATTTAATGTTATGAATGTGACTGGTAACTCTTTAATTTGTCAAGAAACATTTTTAAATGACACATTTTTCTTGTTTATTGAAACAAAAACAATGATTTTATTTTACCATAGACAATTTTCATCAATTTTGTCAGTTGACATTGACATTAGCGATACATACATGAAAAAATTCAATTATTCAAACCATTTTTAATACAGTTTATTTTGAAAGGTTTTCATTTGTGTTTTTCGTTGCTAGTCAATTAAATAATCGTTTTATCAGGATAGTGTTTAATGTGAACACGTAACCAGTGCATTCCATGATTTTATCATTAAAAAATCAAGTCGTTGTGTAGTTAGATTACTTATGCATTTTTGTTGTAATTGCTTTTATATTTAATGAATACCTATATTGAGCTAAATGGCAGAAAGCTGTTTATTTATCTACTTGCTTAATTCTCAAATGATGCTGTTGTTTATTGGACTATTCCTACTCTAGGTGATGGCAAAGGAATCAAGTGATCCAGTCTCATATTGTTTAATATTACACAACTAACATATTTATGTTGCTAGTTCATACAATATTGTTATTTTTTACACTGTAACATGAAGTTATGACAAAGTTTAAGACAATTACTAAGGATTCGAGCCGTTTTTCCTAGCTGGTTCACAGAAATTATATCTAGCCCCAGTAGTTGTATAACTACTTGTTTTCAAATCGTTTTACTATGTGCTTTAGTTTTGGCCCAAAAAGTTTGTACACTTTAATGTTGCAGTGTATACCAATATGTTTAGTTATGTGTTATTATAAGTGGTTATGAGACGGCCATAATTAGGGATTCAGCGTCTCCATTCATGTAAGTAACATTTCTTCATATTATTGATATTGTGACAGTTTAAAAAGTACATATTACTGCAGTACAATACAAGCAGGTATCAAGGAACAGAAAAAAACAAACATAATGTAGTAAACATTCGTATTTATAATATAATGTTGTCGTTTTATTTACAAATAAATACAAATTCAGTTAATAAATAAATGGTAAATTATCTACATCTTAATAAGTATGTTTTATATCTCATTTCTTAATCTTCTCTGGATTTTTGTGGAATCCAAAATACTAACGTTAACGTTTTCTTATGACACGTTACGGTCTCAAGAAAATTTGAGACTTTCGACGTTCGGGCGACACGTTCACGTACATTCACACTATACGACTATATTTACAAGGTACTCGTAGAAGATTCACTCAGTGAGCGCGGGGCACTCGTCCGACGCCGGCCCCGCGCCACCACACACCACTCGCACCAGGCACAGCGATCACTGAGTCCACCCCCGCGCAGTCCGAAGCTCTCCGCTCGCAAATAAATATTTGTACAACGCGGTCGCGCCGCTCGACTCGGCGCTTCGGAGGGCGCGGGCGGCGCGCGGCGGGACTAGATAATACTGGAGAGCCGCGGAGGGGGCTCGGGGCAGCGGCAGCCGGAGCGGCGGCAGCGCGCGTATAGCGCCGCGCCCGCCGCCGCGCAGCCCCGCAGCGGCCAGTACAGCCACAGGCACGGCAGCGGCAGCGCCAGCGCACCCACGCACGCCAGGCGCGGCCCGCACGCGCACGGCTCGCCCGCCTCCTCCTCGCCGCTCCCGCAGTGGTAGAACAGCGCCTTCACGCAGCACATGCACGACGCGTAGTCGACGCACGCCTCGGCGCTGCACAGGCACGAGCCGCACAGCCAGCGGGACGGCAGCGGGCGCGGCCGAGCGCACTGCTCGCAGCGGCAGCGGCCGCACGTGTCGCACACTATCGAGTCGGCCGGGAGGGCGCCGGCGCGCCGCTTGTCGGCCGCGGCGGCCGGCTGCGTCGTCACCGGCTTGAGAGGTTGATGCGCGGCCGTATGGGGAGGCACGGGCACGGCGTGAGCTCGCCGTGGAGCCTCCACGTAGGCGTTTCGCTCGCGCTCGGCCTCAGGTCGTGGCCGCAGCAACGACACGGTGGGCTGGCGCGCGCCCGTCGGCCTGTGGACGCGCGCCGCCGGCTTTGGCGGCCGGGGCGGCGCCGCCGGCCCGCCATACTCATCCATCGAGTACGGCTAACGGCTCTCCGGGCCGTCGCCTTCCTGTTCCCTCATCGTCCCCACCTGCCGATCGAAAACACATTCACATTAAATGAATGATCACGACACGATCATAAAACTACTTAATTAAATCACTAGACAGTCTCACTCTCTCATCCGCATCCATTACGTTACAATCTGTGAAACTTGCAGCTCAGTAACTGCAACATACATTCATCATATCTTTGCTTTGCATATCTTAGTAAATCATACTTAATACTTGACAAATAAATGAAAGTCGATAAATCTCATTCTTAGGTGTTCCGTCGGTGTCGCGTCTAATAAAAATTATAAACATCTATGAAAAGAAATTAATACCGCATGTGAACAATTATCATTGGCTCCGAAGCTCATGTGGCATAATTAATCACGGCTGGTGATAAATAATACAATGAATACACATAATAGAATATTTTATTCCGCGTGGCTAAGATTACATTGCCTTAATTTCAAAAGATTGCTAAAATACGGCGTTATATTTTGAGCAACTTTGATTTTGGTATGTAAAATATATTGAAATCGAGTATTTTTACGTTTATCCATCAACACGGATTTACTCGTGTTTTGTTATTTAAATAGAAAAATACTACATCTTCACAATTCTTACTAATTTTGAATTATTTATTGAAGTGGTTGAAGACAGGTATTTGAAGCAGGCACGTACTTATTTAAATTCTAAACGAAACAAATACTTTATAGAACCATGGTTTAAAAGCTGTTACCTTCACTTCATTCTTTAATTTTGTCACAGAGGTTGTTTGCAGGACTGCTTTGTTGAATATGCTTCCTCTTTCTAAAGAGAAGGGATCCATCCATTCATGATACCGAATCGGGTGCTTTGACAATAATCGCTTGGAAAGTTTTTTTTGAAATTATTCATTTCTTCCTTTTACAGTTTTATCTTTGATTGCAGTAGGTAATGGCATAAGGTGATTTATGTCAATAATATTTTAGCATTATTTTATTCTCACTTTATCGATTTCAGTCATAGGTCAATAGTTAATATGAATTTAAATATATTTTATCTCTTATTTAAGAAAATAGTTGACACATACCAAATACTACTGGTTTAACCTGCTTAGCTTTTAAATGTATTCAAGATTATATCCATTAAGCTAATTTTATATTTTCTCCGTTCTTCCAGACAGGCAGTGTGCTTTCCTGTTAGTTTGTTTTTAATTGCTGAAGTTACTTTAATTAGTATGCTAGTTAAAGGTCATTAATTGATAGCTTTCTTATTTGGTGTAGTATTATCAATATATTTGGCGTCGCGTAATCTTAAATTTTATCTTTAGAAGTTGGCTATTCGTTTGGGTGTAATATGCCATTTGCCTGGATGTTCCTTTAGTGTGTCTTTAAATGTTTTTTATGGTACTGCCATCCTAAGAATATTTTTTTTTAACTTTTGTTAATTAACATTCGGAAGCCAATAAATTGTTACCAATAAACAAATAGAAATTCCAAAGTAAATAGGATATGTTTGCTATTTAACATACTATCTTAATATGTGTATTTTGAAGGGCTGCTTTAACTTGAAACGATTACTTGTCCGAAAGATTGTCGTCATATTCAATGTCTTCTCATGGCAAATGCCACTTCAGGATTGAATATATGAAAATCAGTTAGTGATTTTTTCAGAATACGGCTTCCTTAACGAAATTTGACGTAAAATATATCCTGACTCGGTTAAAATCTGTTTTGAAGTTACATGGCGATACTTTGTTACCGATTCAATAAAACTAATAAATATGTTCCCTTCATATAAAAAATATAAAGGTGCTGAACGTATTTACCGTTTCTTAGTACAATTATTGGAGTCTATACAAGTATGATGATGACCAGGCTACGTAAAACAGACATGTTGAGAAACATTGTTGTAATCTCCACGAATATCAGCCTGCCTACTCATTTCTGACGGTTTATAAGCAGTTATGACCTTTCTTTTATTGATTCCATCTAATCTCTTAAATGGTATTCATACTTAGTAGGTACATACTAAGTGTGGCTATAATCTAACAAGATTTAAATACAACTATCCGTTATATTACAAATAATATTCTTATTTTGTTTTGTCTAAATATTCTTCTTATCTACAGAGTTCGTTACAAGATATTAACAGTTTATGTGACCATTGTTTACAATTTATTCTTTATCTGGCTTAGTTATCAACTCTCTGTCGAAATTGGCCTCTGTTGCTATAATAATGCGGTTATACATTCATTATAACTATTGGAGCTTGTTAATCGCGTTATTTGTCTGTAATACCTATTTTTGAAGTAAGTTTTCGTTTAGTCGACAAGTACATTAAATTAATGTAGTTTTCAAGTATTTTAGGATTGTGTTTTTTGTTCAGTTTAAATTTCAACGCTGTATAAATAGATTTGAATCATACAATAAATGAAAGCATTATTATTAACTCGTTTGTTGAGAACGTTCTCGCTATGAGCGCTGATCGTTGCACGTGTGCCGGTCGCCAGGCGGCAAAGCGAGGCGTCGCCTCTCGTCATTCATGTTAGCTTGATTTCTTCGCTATCCATGTAATTACTACCTACGCAAGACTAGATCTACATGCAAAACGCAGTTAGTCGTATCCGCCGCAAGTTTTGTGTCCGATAGACGATTTTGCTCAGTGGGCGAGAAGTCCCACGTCAGGACGCCGTATGTACTTACGAAGCAGACATTCCACGGTCACACGTCTCCTACACACATCGCTCCACACACAAGGGCACTTGGGCCAAGCGCCCAACACACAACACTGAGGCTACTTGTCGCCTAGCGACCAAGTGGTCGTACCGCACCGAAACCGCGCCGAAAGATTCACTGACACACAAAAATACGGCAGAACCACCGAATTTCGGCCGCGCAAATCCACGGGAAGGTTCATGAGACCGGCGCGGTCCGGAGCGGCACCTGGCGCGGGCGGGGGGCGGCCCACGCACCGGCCTCGATTCTCGTCCGCCCGCCGCGCGGTTATCACTGCAATATGGCCGCTACTCACTTCCTCGCTGAAGTTCTTCGTTGATTTCTACTCCTAATCTCGACGACGGCGTTTTTTGTAACCGTTCCGAACTCGTGCGGATTCACTGCACTTATTCTTATACACATTTTAATGGAAAACCGGGAGCGCTAGGGCTACGCTCCGACGAAACGACCGTTCCGTTCGATGGCACATTCCGCACTGGCGTCGGCCGCGGGTGCGGGTCGGCGGGAGAGGCCGCCCTCCCTTCGCCGCGCAACATGCCGCCCGCGCCTCGCCTTTTTATGAATGGAAGGCGGCCATACTGAATGAACCGCGTACACGGAGCGGTTGGCCGCTATTTTCGCGGGCGAGAGCGACGTTAGGGGTCCGGGGGGCGGAGGCCGGAAGCGGGCTGCGAGCGCTCGCGGTGCCAAATTTTGCGGCGCGGGCGGCGGCAGCGGATGTGCTCGTTTACCAAGCTTCCGGCGAGATCCCCCCGCGCAGCCGCATCCGGGAATTGGGTTTCCGGTCGGCGAGAGTCGCAACACCGGGATACCACCCACATTCGTCTTGCAACTGCACTGTAATATCAGCTGTAGAAAAGTACTAGTCCAATCTCCAATTTTCAACCCCTAACTATACGCAAGTTCGATTTAATATCACATAAAGTTGTGTAAAAACCATATGAATACGCAGAACACTATTTTTATTTATATAAAAGCAAACATCATTAGCATTCTATTTCAGATTAACGATGTTTTGAAATTCTTGGGCACGTAACGTTTCCATTCACTACTATATTTTGGTAAGCGCGTGGTCGAGAGACGCGCCACCGACGACGACGACGGCATCTGTTATCGCAAGCGGTAATTTTCGCAAGGTTGCAGTGACAATAAGGCGCGTTGTGCACGCCGCGTCTCTGTGTCAAGGACATACGATAACGCAGCGCCACACCGCCACGGATGTCACATTACAATCTATCACCATTAACACAGCTAGGATTCATTGTAGTACTGTTTGCGACAAACTTTATATCTGTTCAAATCTCGTTTCTTCTTGGATTGAACAAATTGGTCTTGGGTATTATTTGGACCTATTTTTTAGGGTTAGTTAATTTCACTTTACAATTTTATCACTAGAGACGGATAGCCAATTTCATTGAGTAAAGTTCATCCGTTAATGTTTTTCACCCGTAGTACTTTATATGAATAAAGATTAGAAGTAAACAAAAACATTCATCTTTTAGTAAACTAACATTATTACCCAAATTAGAACAAAAGAAACGTTCAATGGGTAGAATGAAAGAATGACTTTGCCTTTACAAAAAATATTTCTCTACCTGAGTTGTACATTCGCTTCAGATTCTATTGTTACATGTGTTACCCGGGCCTAACGCTTAGGGTCTCTACCCGATTCAAGGAATTTATCTGACCAGCTGAACTAATGTCAAACACTTTTGGGTCGTATTAGCTGCGAGTAGACGTTGGCAAAAACTGTTGGAACACAATTCAAATTTTGGTCTTGTTTGCAAATTTTTTCGGGAGCCCATGTGTCTTGTTCTTTATAAATAACTCAACTCTGTTAATTTTCTAACCCTCTTTACGTAGAGCATATCTCACAAGTAATGGTTTGTGGAAAATCTCGCTTCATATTGCTAAGTTCGAGAATATTGTTAAGACGGTAGTTATTCTCATACTCTTTGTATATTTAGGTTTTCAAAATATATCTTAGCTATGGTTAAAGCTATTCTCATTTCCTTTACACACATATGCAATTATTTTCTATGCACAGTCAATTATTTAAATTTAAGTAACCAATCCTTTTGATTCGCTTCTTGTGAAAATAGTTGCCAATATTGGAAGAACAATGACAATGGGTGGCCTGAATAGGTATACAACGTTAGTGAAAACGATACCAATGCACCACAAGCTTCATGGAATGTAATATAGTCTACCCACTATTCTGGAGCTTTGTCCAGACAATGGAGTTAATAAGAAATCAGAGTTCGCCGTACATGGGTCCTGTTACCCTTTGTCATATTTCTATATATTGTTCAGTACATGAACTCCATATCTCATCAAGATACTTGTTATACTCTAGTACTGTCAATGATTTTGTGAGATACAAGTATAGTTTCTTTCCTGAATTTCGTGCTAATAACAGTCGTTACTTGAATCATTATGGATAAAAGTGTTCTCATGGTAGAGTAGGCGGTATAATCGTTGGCCCAGTCGATAGAAATCAGGTTTCGTTTGTTATTCTGAAGGCGGTGCGAGTCGAGTCGAAGCGGAAGCCGCCTTCGCCTCCGCCCGCACTTTCCATCCGCCATTGCTTGCACCTATGCAGCTAAATTGGTCCCATCTGTTTTATAACTATAGAACTTAACTTATGTTTAACTAATTATTATATTTATTGAATCGTTAAATTGTGTTTTCTCATTAGTTTATCGTATCATATTTAGTAGATCTGGTACCTAGTAAAAAAGAGATAGGTCCAGGTAACCTAGTTGTTCGACAGTTGATTAGCAACATTGGTGATGTCACTTTTAATCTTCACTGTCAAGTGTTTTACAAATATTATTATCATTTGTAAACTTCCTGCTTAATCACACTCTACTGGTTATTCTAAAACTAAATAACTGCAAAGATAACTTTGGAGATAACTTAAAACGTTTCAATGATTTAAGAAAAGGTATTTCTTAATGCAATTCAACATAATTATGAACCTATATTACGAAATAGTATGTCTAGTTACATAATTACGATAAAATAGTATTGTTTTGAACATTAAATTTATCTTTCGCAAGTTTAAATGCTGATAACTGTTTTATTTAAGAGTGTTATTTGTATGAATATTGTCGTATTGTATGGTAGAATAGTTTGATAACGTTGGAGTACTAACGCCGTGGACGCGTTGAAAATAATACCGGATGTTTGTCACAGATAAAAGAAACGTGAATGAGAGCGTTGCGACTAACGTCGGTGCGATCCGCGCATATTTTGCGTCCGTTCGGCTCGGGTCGTCGCGCATTAAACATATTTTCTTAAACTTTGATAAAATTGTTCTGTAATATTAACAGATACTCAAAGAACTCCTTGTCTTATTGCGGTAGGCGTATGACTTAGATCTGCTTTTTGAAATATCTATTCTTCACTATTTTATTGCTAAATTCATTACTGTTTTCCCCTTTAAATCCGTATACTTATCTAGCCCGTTAGACACATTCCTAATCATCATCATTTTAATTTAACACACAAATAAACTTTATTCTTTTCTTTTCTAGTTTGGTCTTACATTGATTTTTTAATGTGTGATCGTACACTTTAATGCTTATACGCACAAATTGCTTCCCTTCCACATACATAACTTCATACATTATTATAATCATTATTTTCTTCCATATGTCGACAGTCAGATAGGTACGTATGTAGAACTATACTGTGCTTACATAACAACCAAGAGATAAACTCGCGTCTGGGCACATGTTTTAACAGAAATATTTTTAATTAATTGACCAATATGATCGGTCCATTACGTAATGACAAAAGCTAGAATGAAGGATCTCATTGAATGGTCGAGTATCGCGCACGACTCAGTTCATTCATGGCACACATTCATCGTCGGTGACCTTAGCCGTGCCTATCCCATGCGGTTATTTAATACACACGGCAAACATCATTTACATCGTATACCTATCAAACTGGTGAACATACATACATATTATTACTTTAGCGTAAACACAGTCATAGCGTATCTACACAGCTCACAGATAGAATGCTTAAATTGTGATGTATAGACGGATAGACACGTATGTGTGTACCGCGCCGGGTAATGCGTTATACTTGTAGCAAAGAAATCTAATACAGACTAGTGAATATTCGTCGCCGTGTAATTAAGATGCTGAAACACTACTCTCGCGATTCGTTCAAAGTTTTATTAAACGGTGCATGAGTAATTAAAAATGGCTACATTTATGTTTGTGTATCAAAGATGTTATTCGGTGTATTCTTGTTTTAATTGAAGGCAATTATATAAATTCCACGTAGCGGTCGGGTGAGGGCGTGCAAGTGAGGCGTGGGGAGGGGGAGTCGTAGCGGACGAGGCGGTCGACCTTCCGTGAGGCCGTCCGTCCGCGTCGTCGTCCGCCGGGCCGGCGGCCCTCTGTGCCACTCCGCTGCTTGCCATCGCAACGACTATTACAGCTCCCGGCCAACGAGCGCAGGAAGCTACACCACTTCACTCGACCCGCATGCCAAACTAACAGTCATGTACTAAATTGGAGACACGTTTACGACGTTATAAATTACATTTCCTTTTTACATCATAGTAGTATCTGCACTAAATTTGAAAATCCTAAAAATATTGCTTTGACTGAAGTAGAACTAAACTCACTAGTAAAAATACGAATTTTATAGTATTTTAATTGTATGTAATATTTATGAAATTGCGCAAGATTTTCTCAGAAATCAGAAATAAAATCAATCCTCTATAGAAAAAAGTAATTACCCCTAGTTTAGCTGTATATTTCAACCAAGGGTAAATTTTTTTGTTGTTGTCCTCAACAATTTATCAGTTTTCTACATTCTAAAACTCATGATTAGAAAATACCAAAGTAATGACGTGCGCGGCCAGAATGGACAATGTTCACTCGAAAAGCAAAAGTAGCTGTGACAGAGAGCGAGTGGAGCGTCCACAGCACGCAGTAGGGCCAATGACATCACTTTCCACCTTGAAAATGGCCTAACTGTCGTCACTGCGTTATTTAATAGTACACTTTATGACTCACGAAATAGATCACAAAATCATTTCCATCCTCGATAGTTATGCTACATTACTTCCATCGGCGGATACATGTACCATTATTTCTACAGTCCTATCTGTCCAAGTTGAAAAATTAAAATACTAGTATGTAACGTGTAATGGCTTAAGATTGCTCATTGGTTACTTTAAAATCTAAAGGAAACTGTTACCTTGTTTGTTCGTTGTTGTAGTTACTTGATCGTGTAGGTGCCTAGTCTTTGCATTTTATATAATGTTTCTGGATTCACATTTATTTTCTGGGAAATTTAGTTTGGAACCGAAGGGCTAAAATCTTAATTCTATGTGATAGGTTAACTGTGAGGTCGTTTAGAATCGTTTCCATTTGTCATAATTATCATACAAAATGTATTAATGTATTTGAATGTGGGCACTTTATTTGCAGGTTACTAAGGCCTAACTTGTAGTAATTTATTTACTCTGTTGAATTTGCCAGATTTCATTTCGACGTGATCGTTCTAGTCCCAAGACCTTTATTGTGCATGATGAACCCTTACATGAAAATCTATACCAACACACGTTTTGAGAATAAATGATGGCTTTTAGCTAGCTAATGTCTGGTGCGTTTTAGGTTTCCCAGAAATCTTCATTTGTCATTTAATTCATGAAACTACAACTGTAGCTGTAACAGGTAAATCAAAAGAGCTTAGTTTGGTCGTCGCTCTCGATGGATTTAATAACGACTTCTGCTTGCGACTGGTGATAAGCAGTGGTAACAAGCGCTGCAGGACGGAGGTGTCGTGATTTACACCTTGGCGGCGTTGCGGCTAGGTGCGGCGTCGTGGGCGAACGGGCCAACCTCTGCCCACGCGCCTCCCGCGCCTGAGCGTCGAGCAGCGTCGCCGCAAATTCCGAGCCCACCACTACTCTGCGTCCCACACCTGTACTGTTAAGATCCACATTCAAAGACTGTGTCGTTGATAGTTTATAAACCGAAATAAATAATAACCAAGCCTAAAGATTTTCTAGATTCTAAATAATTAACCTAGGCGTCTTTTGGATTCTGTAACTGAATAAACCTTTCATGGGAATATTTCAATCACAATCTTAATACTTTATTCTATATTTGAGTTTTCTTTTTGGAGGGTAGAAGCTACTCTTGTGAGCGATTAAAATCATATGTTAAATGATGCGCATATTTTAAATAAAATCATTTTCGTATGAAGCTTTTTTATTGCCAAATAAGACTTTGGTTTTCCTTGTTAGTGAAGTTGGTCCTTAACCATCGTGCGATGATATATTGAAAATGACAATATTGGTTGCCACCGGACTTGCCCTCTTTCATCCTTTCGCAATAACAGTTTCTGACTGTAGCAGAACCGGTCCGCATGTGTTCCGATAGTGGACGATATTTGTGCGAATTTTCGCCAAATCGATAATTTAACTTTTAATGGTCTTTTTTGTCACGCCTGTTTATATCTTTCTTGATTTATAAGACATATCTGTTAATTTTCGTACTCAATTTGTAACAGTGTGACGGTTGCTCCTATATTTTGAGGTAACCGTTCCTATTTGTAGTAAAATTCTACGCAAAAAGGTACCTAAATATTTTCGCACATATTTTATTTAAGTTGCTGTTATGTTTTTTATGGCAGGGAGCTGTAAGGGTTACCTTAACCTTAATACCAAAAATTGCATAATTGTGCGTTTGTATAAAAAAGCAACGCGAAAGTTGGTCTTACTCTGAGTATATTCGGTAGATCGTCTTGGCAAAACATCCTAAAATCTAAAAAATATAGAAGCAGAAGGTTTTTTACTCACCTACATATTATGTGGGATACTGATTCAGCATCTGTAACAAATTAAATTGATTCAGTGTCTAAAGTAAATATAGGAAACAAGTAACATGATACTCTTAGAAATATCCAACTAAGTCACAAATTCTAAGACGTAACTAATATCAATCAACTGAAATAAATAATAAATCCCTACCTGTCGTAAATATATAATTCTTATCCGTATGATACTTATTTTAAATATTATAGCTAGGTAATATTCTGAAGCAGTCTTAATAACTTACAGTCATTATACGGACTATTCAAGTTTTTAAGTCGATGGAATAGTGTCTCAAGTTGGATACACCGTGCGCTCGAGATTTAGCTCAGAGTAAGGCAGAAGCAGCTTTTTGATAGGACGAAAAAATTGAGAACTTAGAATACGGATAAGAAAAACGTCCATTTGATATAAAATATTCATCATGAATGAATAAACAATTCCACGTTCATAGCGTTAATCAATGAGTTGCATGCAGGCAAGAGTCCGAGTCGATGTCGAGCTCATTGATCGATCGACTCGATACAGCTTTAACACAGGCGCGCGTCGTCTGTACACATTGCTCACACGCAAACAAAACCGGATGGTGCACACACACGTAAATGTGGATGTGTGCGTGCATGCGCGAAGGATTTCCTACCGCCCCGCGCCCGCGCCCGCGTCCCTCCACAGACCTGTTGCGCCGCTACCGGAGTTACGCCGCATAGTTACCAGACTTGATATGCCTGCTCCGCGCCGTATCGACTCAGCGCCGAGCCCACGCACACCACGACACACCGTTCGAACACTTAATTATCATGGCGCAGCACTCGTGAAATTGCTGTGCATCTCGCCCGGTCTCATCGACATCTTTTATTAATCTGATATCTTCCATTACCGGTTGCACTAAAGTAAAACATCTAACCCGTTCGATTTATAGCCCCTCTTATGGATGCAGCCGGATACATGACATCATGTGATGCTAATTCACTCAGACGGCGCTATCATTTAGTATTATAAATCTTCTAAGGAATCGATCGTTTTATTAGAGTTCCTCAACGAATCTTCATTAAAATATTAAGTACTAATTACATCTAATAGAGTATGTTTTCACATATTGAACTTAATGAAAACAACCTCATATTAAACAGGAACTTGTGTATTCACACGATTTCTATCTTTGGTCGTCTTTATAATAACCGAATAAAACGGTTACTTAGTATGTTTTCTATTAAAGTTGACTATAAATGGAATCTAGTAATGTGTATAAGTATGTTTATGTTGTTAATCATAATATAAAGCGATATCTGAGTTTATTTCTAACAGTTGTTTTGATTTGTGAACTATTGTCTTCTCTATAGACAACTGACGGTTTATTTGAACGGCACGCGGCCATCACTCTATCCGCCTATAACTATTCTTACAAGAGTGTTTATTCGCCGTAGTATAACTTTTGTAAAGGTGGCTAGTTGACGATTGTGGATTGTAATTCAAGAGAAGAATGATGGCCGCGAGCTAAGCGCTGTGAAAAAACAGGTAGCGCCGTTCTACCGTATCGATCTTTAAGTTATTTTTCTTATTTATCTTTTTTATCTGGAGCTGTGCTCCGCGTCTCGGACCCGAACGGAAGTTGTAACGATTTTTAATCGTAGCAAGTATCTCGACCGGCCGGTTCGTATAGCCGCTTTGGACAAGAGTTTATATTATATTTTTTTGTAAACAACCACCGGAAACGGGCTAGAGAACGCACTGCTCTGGAACACATATCTTCCATTACGTCTGTCTCTCGGTTCTCAGTAATAATGATAAGGGATACAGATAAGACTCAATGTTAAAACAAGATCTACGACATTTGGTTTCATTTAAGAATGAAGATGAAAAAACTTACAACAAACCCTAACTGAAAGGGTCGCCACATTACATCAACAGGAATAAGACATCATTTAACTTTGCTAAGACGGTCATAGATGGTATCAATGTCAGTGGCTGACCCCGTATAAAACTGACTGTAAATTGCGACGATGTATTTTTGTAACATTTTTCTGCCAATAGCGAAGCGTGGGCGCGTGATAATGGCCCGAAATATCCACGTTCTCATCGCCCACCCGGTCCATCGAGAATATTATTCTACAGATAAATAATTCTTATCCGAACTGAGTCCGTTGGACATAGGTTTGACAAAGTTGCCACACCGTATTTAAAAAAAAAATAGATAGGTTCCATTTGAAACTGGAAATTGCTTTAGAAAGCACAAGTTTGTTACTCTGGAAATGACCAATTAATACTCTCAAGTCTTAAGAGAGTTGGCGATAATTGCTTACATTAAGAACTTCCTTCGGAAGAGCAACTTAGTAATACTAAAAATGCTCGTTACTATTAGGTGACGATAATTATTACATCTTAATTTTTTAATAACATTTTGATTGTAAAAGATTACATTTGAACCAAAGCTTAAGTAAAGTTGATCTTGCGCAGTTCCCTATCTAGCTTACCTGAAGGTCGTGGTATCGAACAACGTATAGATTGTTTGGATTATTGACAAGAAAAAACTTCAAGGATGTATGATAATATTGTAATAAGTTGACTTTTCGGAATGAATTAAAACATTGTTCTAATATTGCTTAGTAAAGATGGATATTGGATACTTGAAATATTCTAATAGCATTAGGTCAACCATTTTCAACATTTGCGTCCAAAACACCTTCTTAAAATCTTTTACATTCTTCTAAAGTCTTAAGTTATAAGAAATTCTGGCTGCAACTATTACATCGTCTATCTTACTGAAAGATTGGCTGTCAAGATGAAGAGTTCCGTACGTTGTCGCGGACCGGCGCCGCCGAGTATTTATATCCCTTTGAAGCGGCCGCTTCTTCTGTTTTCGCTGTTAAAGTTTACTTAATCCATAGTAACTATTCTAAACTTTGAATATTGAACAATAAATCTGTGCACGCTACCTAAACATTAAATTCTCACAAGTTACAACCCAAATTTTTGCGTTATAGCTAGTGCTCTCCTCAATGGGCAATGAATCCATTTTACATTTTCAATAAAATTAAATGTAGTGACATTTCTGTCCAGTGCTTTTTATTCAGAATAAGTGCAATCATTTCCAATGGTTATGACAGTTCATAACAGTCTTCGTATTATCGAAATGCTGAAAATATAATTTTGATTTTTGGACTTATCATTTCTTAATAAGAACTAAAATGTATGCTATTCTATCGTTATAGTTTCCAAAACTAAGAAATCTTCTTCAAACAATTATCTTCTCCATCATCTTTTGTTTTCGGTATCGCATTTTTCTTATAAAATCAAGTCAGCTGTTGCATTAATTTCATCGCGTCGTCAGAGATATTTAAGAGTAATCGGTAATAGGTAATCGCCTATTTTACATTTTAACAGTCGCTTATAAGCTTCACCTAGGTGTGGTAGTGTTTCTCTTTGATATTACTTATCTGCTGCTATAAATAATATTCTCGGACTATTTTATATCTTATGACTTCAGCGTTAGGAACGCGACGCGAGGCATTCGATATTCAGTAGAGGTAAGTGTAGAATGTCTCTACACATCGACATCCCGGCAACGGAGTGGTCGCCGAAGAACCAGTTTCATTTAATCATCATAATTGCGTCCTCCGTTAAGCCTATCCCGCGCTCGAGTGTGGTGTGTGGTAGAGACGAGAGCACACATGTAGCGCTCGACATGACACTATTCAGGTCCATTTGAAAATTTATGAAACGTCTTTGTGAGATCCAGATTGTTATCTTTATTTGGTTGTTTTTATTAACACATGACATGAATGGAGATTTCTGAATCCATGATAAAGTCCATTTGAATCTAAATTCAATATTAAAGTTGAATAATATGCCAATATTTATATTTATCTACTGGTAGAGCTGTAATAAACTACGTTATTTATACATATAATAAGAATTTTGCCAAATTCTCAAGCATAAAGCCGGTCGTTATTGGTCGCTTTGATAAGGTTACACAATATGTTATCTGTATACGTTACACGAGAACGAGAAAAAATATTTAGTCAAAATCTATCAAGGCCATGCCTTACGCGGAACTCTCGAATCTGCTTTATAAGTTTTTGATATATTTGATACGCGCCAAGTTGGACAATGTCAAATAAGTTATTAAGGACACTTAAAGGGTATTTGTGACATAAAGTCAATTATTGAATGCATTTTTGGTGATATGAAATCAATCGATCGAGATACAGAATTTATAAATCTTTTCCTTAACCACATGTTTGAGTTTAGCTTAAAGGGTTTTTAGAATTCAAACAGTTCTTGGTTCTATTGAATATTCGACGTTCGTATCAAGTTAAAGCGCACTGGCTGCAGTCAGTGAAAAAGGGCTTCAATTTGAGTGAGTTTCTTCTCGGAGCAAGTCACGACATAATATGCTTCGTGTTCTTTCCCGCTGCGAGCTAGGTTTCTTTTGCCTTGCTTTTTATAAAAGTAAATTTTATTCTATCTTTCCAAACTATGTCATGAATTGTAGACGACATTTAAATGCATTCTGATTCTTACTTAGAATTTGTAGCACATTATCTTTGCATAGTTGTGCTTAATTCTAAATTAATTATTTTATAATGGATGTTATAAATGGTTACATTATTGTCGAATTAATTAAGTAGGCTGTTTTACGTGCACAAAAACAAGTTCACAACTCAATCGTAACCATTCTGTTTGTGATTATAATGCTCCCGTTTCTTCGTAATACTTATTACACGTTTATGCTCACTAGTTATGACGTAAAATAGCTTTTGGTAATTCCGCTAGCCTCCGGAGAGGCGTAGTATAGAACAGACGGCGCGGTAAACAGGAAGCGGTGTCGGCTAAGCGAGCGTTGGCAACTTTTCAACTACCACGTGGTACCGCTGACGACGCGTTGTGCACTCGCAATATTTGACTAACATAATGGCGATGAAGAATTTTCATATACTTTGTTATTAGGTAGATACTGCAAACTTTTTACCGGAACGAATATTCCGTGTGTATCCAGCTAATTACATTTAGGTACCAATACGTGTATTGTTAACATTTCGTGTTAGCAGAGACCGTTAACACGTCATTTTACCGAATGTTAAATTTAGTAAGTGTAATTTTACTATCAATAGACTCCGGTCTTGACCGGTACCAATGACGGTATATCTCAATAATAGCCACATGGCATAATCTGGTATTCTCTTAAGAACTTTTTCGTGTACCGAAAAAAATGCGACAAAAACTAGCGCGTTCCGTCCGCGAGCCACATGGTCAGGGTTGGAACAAAAGGCGCGTCAGAATATGCGCTACAGATGTGCTATGTGGTCCACATGTCACGAACAATGGTTTCCTTCATCGCGCAAGACACTACACTCGTTAGTAAGACTGTAATAATTCGATATGCTTCTTACAGCTATAAATCTAAACAATTTTAAATAGTACTGAATTATTGAAAAAGTGACGAACTAATGTCAGTTTTCATGAGATCGATTATCTATCTATAAATAGTTAATTCTGAATGAACCCTAAAACATCAAGCCTGTTAAATTCCTTACAATATTCAAACTTCAAACCAATTTTATCTACATATTGAAAAAAATCCAATAACCGACCACGCTTTTTCTGCACTACCTTATGGTTTACTGTTAGGAAACACCTTTGAGAAAAGGAATATGATCAAAACTAGGCCGAGAAACCTAATCAACCAACTAAAAACCACATCATAACGCCGTTCCTTCTCCTGCTCCGGGCCTTACTTAAAGCACTAAGTTCGGGATTCACTCAAGACTAAAAGTCAGAAGAAGAACAAAAAAGAAAGACATTCCACTCTAATAAAATCTAATATCCTCATAATTGTTTGCCCATACCGGGAACCCAAGA